AGATTTATGGTTAGAGTTCAGTTTAGGGTTACATTTAAGGTTAGGGTTAGGTTTACAGTTATTGTTAGGGTTAGTGCTAGGGTTAAGGTTAAAGTTACAGTTAGGTTTATCGTTAGGGTTAAGTTTATGGTTAAGATTAAGGTTAGGGTTAGGGTTAGGGTTACAGTTAGGGTTTGGGTTACAAATAGTGTTATGATTAGTTTTACTCCTAAGGTTAGTTTTACGGTGATGGTTAGGTTTAGGGTTATGTTTAAGGTTAGTGGTGTGTTTAGGTTTAGGTTTAGGGTTATATTTAAGGTTAGGTTTATGCTTATGTTTAGGTTTAGGGTTGAAGTTAGGTTTAGGGTTATGGTTAAGGTTAGAATTAGAGTTCCATTTAGGGTTAGAATTATGGTTAGTGTTAGTTTTAGAGTTAGGATTAGGTTAGGGTTAGAGTTACAGTTAGATTTAGGTTTAGGGTTAGTGTTATTGTTATGGTTAAGATTATAATTATGGTTATGGTTAAGTTTGCAACTAGGGTTAGTGTGAGAGTTATGTTTGGGGTTCGGTTAAAGGTTGCATATGGGTTCGGGTTGTTATTAGGGTTATGGTTAGTGTCAGCATTAGGGTTAGGTTATGGATAGGTTATAATGAGAATTATAGTAAGGATTATGGTTAGGGTTACTGTTAGATTTAGGCTTATTTTTACAGTTAGGATTAGGTTTAGGTTTAAGTTTAGGGTTACTGTTACAGTGAGGTTTAAGGTTTGCCTTACAATTAGGGTTCATGTTAGTGTTACAATTAAAGTTAGGTGTAGGGTTACAGTTAGGTTAGGTTTAGGGTTATGATTAGTGATAGTTATAGGGTTAGTGTTAGTGTTATCATTAGGGTTACCATTATGCTTATAGTTAGGGTTAGGATTAAGTTTAGGTTAAGGGTTATGGTTATTATTAGTGTTTGTGTTAGGGTTATGGTTAAAGTTAGTGGTAAGGGTAGTTTTAGGGTTACAGTTGCAGTTTGGGTTATTGTTAGGGTTACAGTTAGTGTTAGGGGTATGGTTAGAGTTAGATTTAAGTTTAGGGTTAGTGTGAGTGTTATGGTTAGGATTAGTGTTAGGGTTAAGGTTACAATTGTTACAGTTATGGATATGGGTGGTGTTATGTTTACAGATAGGGTTAGGGTTAGGGTTACTGTGGGGTTTACTTTTACGGTTAGAGTTAGGGTTATGTTTGGGATTACGATAATGGTTAAGCATACAGTTATGGTTAGAGTTATGGTTACATTTATATTTAGATTTATGGTTATGTGTAGATTTTGGGTTTGAGATTCAGTTAGCATTAGGGTTAGCATTGCGATTAGGGTAAGGGTTAGGGTTAGAGTTATTTTTCATCTTAAGTTTAGGTTTACGGTTAAGCTTAGTGCTAGGGTTAGGTTTACTGTTACATTTAGGGTTTAGATTAGGGTAACGATTAAGGTTAGGGTTACTGTTAGGGCTAGGGTTATGGATAAGGTTAGTTTTAGGATTACTATTAGGGTTAGGGTTACAGTTATGGTTAAGGTTAGAGTTAGTGTTAGTGTTACAGATAGAGTTAGTGTTAGGATTATGGTTGGCATTATGGTTAGGCTTAATCTTAGGGTTACGGTTAATGTGACAGGGTTAAGGTTGGAGTTACAGTTAGGCTTACAGTTTGGGTTAGGTTTAGTTTTGTTTAGGGTTAACGTTATGGATAGATTTATGGTTAGAGTTCAGGTTACAGTTATGGTTAGAGTTAAGAGTTACAGTTAGGTGTAGTGTTAGGGTTATGTTTAGGGATTGGGCTAGGGTTTCACTTAGTGTTAGTGTTAGGGTAAGGGTTAGGCTAAGAGTTAGTGTTAGGGCTACAGTTAGGCTTAGTGTTAAGGTTGCAGTTAGGGTTAGGGTTAGGGTTATAGTTAAGGTTATGGTGAGGGTTAGGGTTTGGGTTACTGTTAAAATTACAGTGATTATTATGATTAGGTTCAGGGTTATTTTTAGGCTGATGGTGAGGGTTAGGTTTAGGGTTACAGATATGGTTAGCTTTAGCATTAGGTTTAGGTTTAATGTTAGGGTAATGGTTAGGTTTATGGATACTGTTGCAGTTATGTTTAGGTTTAAGTTTACTTTTAGGGTAAGGAGTAAGGTTAGGCTGAGGGTTAGAGTTAGTGTTAATGTTAGAATTATGGTTAGGTATAGGGTGATGGTTAGGGTTAGGGTTATAGTAAGGTTTAGGGTTAGGCTTAGGCTTATGGTTAGGATTAGAGTTAAGGTTACAATTAGGGTTAGGGTTATGTTTAGTGTTATGTTGAGGGTTAGGTTTAGGGTTGAGGTTAGTGTTAGTTTTAGAGTTACAGTTAAGATTAGGGTTAGGGTTATGTTTAGGTTTAAGGTTAGGATTATAATTAGTGTTAGGTTTATGGTTAGGTTATCATTAAGGTTAGGTTTATGATTATGGTTAGTGGTAGGGTTACATTTAGATTTATGGTTAGGGTTATAGTCTCCCAGTTAGGTTTAGGTTTACAGTTACAGTTAGGATTAGAGTTAGGGTTAAGGCTATGCTTAGTTTTGGGGTGGGGTTATGGTTAGGATTAGGGTTATGTTTAGTGTTATGGTTATGGTTAGGGTTAGGGTTAGGTTAACTTTTAGAGTTAAAGTTAGGATTCGGATTATGGTTAGGTTTACAGTTACAGTTAGGTTTTGGGTTATTGTTACAGTTAGGGTTAGGGTTATGGTCAGGGTAACTGTTAGGGCTTGGGATTGAATTACAGTTAGAGTTTAGTTTAAGGTTATGGTGAAGTTTAGAGTTAGAGTTATGGTTAAGGTTAACATTATGGTTAGAGTTTCGGTTAGAGTTCGAGTTAGTGTTAGAATTAAGTTTAGGGTTAGGGTTACGGTTAGGCTTAGGGATAGGTTTATGGTTAGGGTAGGCTTCAGTATACGTTCAGGTTACGGTTATCTTTAGGCTTATGGTTAGGTTTAGGTTCACAATTACATTTAGGATTAGGGTTAGGACTTATGTTTAGGGTTAGAGTTCGGGTTATGGAAGGGGTTGTGTTAGGGTTAGTATTAGGGTTACTATTAGATTGACATTTAGGTTACAGTTAAGGTTAGAGTTAGGGTTAGGGTTACTGTTAGGTATAGGGTTAGGTTTACAGTTAGGGTTATAGTTAGAGTTAAGGTTAGGGATAGGGATAGGGTTATGGTAACGGTTAGGGTTATGGTTATGTTTAGAGTTAGGTTTATGTTTATGGGTAAGGTTAGAGTTAGTGTTACATTTAGGGTTATATCTAGGTTATGTATAGAGTAAGAGTTATGTTTAGGGTTGCTGTTTGACTTAGTGTGTTTTGGTTAGGGTTAAGCCTAGGTTTAGAGTTAGGTTACAGTTAGTGTTACAGTTAGGTTTACCATTGGGGTTAGGGATAGTGTTAAGATTATGTTTATATTTGGGGTTACAGTTAGGTTTAGGGTTATGTTTAAGGTTACCATTAGGGTTAAGGTTACAGTTAGGTTTAGGTTACAGTTTGGATTAATGTTGTTGTTAGACATAATGGTTAGAGTTTGGGTTAGAGTTATGGTTAGATTTAGGGGTATGATTAGGTTTGGTGTTATTGTTATATTTAGGTATTTTTTAGCTTTTCACTGAGCATTAGGGTTAGGGTTACAGTTAGGGAAAGGGTTACTTTTAGTCTTAAGTTTAGTGGTGCAGTTATGGTTAGTAGTAGGGTTAGGTTAAGTTACAGTCAAGTTTATGGTTATGGTTAGGGTTTTGTTATGGTTATATAGGATACATTTACATTTAGGGCTATTATTAGGGTTAGGGTTACAGTTATGGTTAGATTTAGGGTTAGATTTAGGTTTAGGTGATGGTTAGGGTTAGGTTTAGGGTTACAGGATACAGTTAGGGTTAGGGTTAGGGTTAGCGTTAGTGTTAGGGTGACAGTTAGGATTAAATTTAGAGTTAGAGTTGGGTTAAGTTTACATCTAAGGTTAGGGATAGGATTACAGTTAGGGTAAGGGTTATTGTTAGGGTTACAGTTTGGGTTAGTTTTAGGGTTACAGTTAAGTTTAGGATTAGGCTTAGGGTTAAGGTTAGAGTTAGGGGTATGGTTAGGGTTATTGTTAGTGCTACTGTTAAGGTTAGTGTTTCAATTATAGTTAGGTTTATGGTTAGGATTATGGTTACAGTTAGGGTTAGTTTTAGTAGTATGGTTAGGGATAGAATTAGCATTAGGTTTACGGTTAGTTTTAGTGTTATGTTTAGCATTATGGTTAGGGTTAGATTTAGGGTTACCATTAGGGTTATTGTTGCAGTTAGGGTTAGGTTTATGGTTATGGTTAGGTGTAGGATTAAAGTTACCATTAGGGTTATGGTTACGGTTATGCTTAGGGTTAGGGTAGCAGTTACAGTTATTGTTAAGTTTAGGGTTATGGTTAGTGCTATGTTTAGAGTTAAGTTAGGATTATGGGTAGGGTTAGGGCTAGGGTTAGGGTTACAGTTAAGCTTAGTGTTAGGGTTAAGGTTATGTTCCTGGTTCCCGTTATGTTTAGGGTTAAATTTAGGGTTAGGGTTAAGTTTAGGGTTACAGGTAGAGACAGAGGTAGGGGTAGGGGTTATGACTACTGTTAGGATTAGGGTTGGGTTACAGTTAGGGTTAGCATTATGGTCAAGTTTATGATTACTGTTAGGGTTAGGGTTATGGTTAGATTTAAGTTTAGGGTTAGGGTTATGTTGAATATTATGGTTTATTGCACAGTATAGCTTTATAGTGAGGGTTACGGTTAGCATTAGGATTAGGGTTGCTTTTAGGGTTAGGATTATGGTTACATTTAGGGTTAGTTTTAATTTTAGGTTTAGCATTATAGTTAGTATTGTGTTTAGGGCTATGGTTATGTTCAGCACTGCATTTAGCGTTATGGTTAGGGTTACTGTAAGGGTTCAGTTTAAGGTAACTGTTAGAGTTAAGGTTATGTTTAGGATTAGAATTAGCGAGGCGGAACCAAGTTTATGGTGATCCAAAGTGTGGCGGTGACTCCGAAGGTGGACCTACACGTAACGAGATGACCCGAAGCTGCTCCACAGTAGGCTGCAGCACCCGTGACACAGGGCAGAGCCGCGAGCACGGCCTCTCCTTCCACCAATTTCCAACTGATACAGTACAACGCTCAAAATGGATCAGGGCTGTCAATCGTGTGGACCCCAGAAGCAAAAAGATTTGGATCCCAGGACCAGGTGCTATACTGTGTTCTAAACATTTTCAAGAAAGTGACTTTGAGTCATATGGTGTAAGAAGAAAGCTGAAAAAAGGAACTGTGCCTTCACTTTCTCTATGCAAGGTTCCTCAAGGTGTACGTCTTACAGGTAAAGCAAGTCAGAAAATCCCAAAATGGCCACTTCTAGATGATTCTGAAGAGGGTGCTACTGAAGACCATAACTATAGTTTAAGAGATCCCTGGACAGAAGGTACAGAGAGACTGACAGAGGTGCAACAAATGTTAGAAGTGTCCAAAAAAAACATGGCCTCTGTAAAAAACTATAGGATGATCAAGAGGAGGAAAGGCTTGCAATTAATTGATGCCCTTGTAGAAGAAAAACTGCTTTCTGAAGAAACAGAGTTGCTGCTACGAGCACAATTTTCAGATTTTAAGTGGGATTTGTGTAATTGGAGCGAAACAGCCGAGTACTCCATGGAAATGAAGCAGTTTGCGTGTGCGCTGTACTTGTGTAGCAGCCAAGTCTATGCCTACGTGCGAAAGCTCCTTAAGCTGCCGCATCCTTCCATCCTCAGAACTTGGCTGTCCAAATGCAAACCCAGTCCAGGCTTCAACAGCAACATTTTCTCTTTTCTCCAACAAAGAGTAGAGAGTGGAGACCAGCGGTATCAGTATTGCTCATTGATAATAAAAAGCATACCTCTCAAACAGAAATCCCAGTGGGATAGCAGCAGCCACAGCTTGCAAGGATTTATGGACTTTGGTCTTGGGAAACTTGACGCCAGTGAAATGCCACTTGCCACAGAAGCTGTTTTGTTAATGGGAGTAGGTATTTTTGGTCATTGGAGAATGCCCCTTGGTTACTTTTTTGTAAACAGAGCATCTGGATACTTGCAAGCTCAACTGCTTCGTCTCGCTATCGGCAGACTGAGTGACATTGGGGTCACTGTCCTGGCTGTTACATCTGATGCTACAGCTCACAGCGTCCAAATGGCAAAAGCCTTGGGGATACATATGGACGGAGACAACATCAAGTGCACTTTCCAACATCCTTCATCTTCTAGCCAACAGATTGCATACTTCTTTGATTCTTGCCATTTGCTGGAGTTAATAAGAAATGCATTTCAGAGTTTTCAAAGCATTCAGTTCGTAAATGACACAGCACATTGGCAGCACCTTGTAGAGTTGGTAGTCCTTGGTGAACAGGAATTATCAAGTATGGAAGGAATCCCAAGTAAACTTGCAAATTTCAAAAATCATGTACTGAAAATGAATTGTGCTGCTCAACTCTTTAGTGAGAGTGTAGCCAAAGCGTTAGAATATTTGCTGTCATTAGGTCTGCCTCCTTTTCAAAACTGTATTGGTACTATTCATTTTTTACGCTTAAGTAGCAATCTGTTTGACATTTTTAATAGTAGGAACTGTTATGGAAAGGGATTTAAAAGACCTCTATTACCTGAAACTTTTAGTGAAATAAATCATGTATTAATTGAAAAAAAAAGGATTAGAATTAGCATTACATTTAGGGTTTGAGTTATGGTTACAATTAATTTTAGGGTTACAGTTATAGTTAAGTTTAGAGTTAGGGTTAGATTCAGGTTTATGGTTATGGATAGGGTTAGTGTTACGATTATGGTTAGCATTAGGATTAGGGTTACATTTAGAGTTAAGTTTAGTGTTATGGTTAGGGTTTGGGTTAGGGTTAGGGCTATGGTTAAGGTTAGGCTTAGAGTTAGTTTTAAGGTTACAGTACACTTAGTGTTAGTTTTAGGTGTATGGTTAGTGGTAGAGTTGCAGTTATTGTTAGTTTTAGGGTTATGGTTATGGTTAGGGTTTGGTTATAGTTAGGGTTAGGGTTAGGGTTATTGTTAGTGTTACAGTTTGGGTTGGGGTAGGGTTACAGTTAGCATTAGGGGTACAGTTAGGTTTGGGGTATTAGAGTTAGGCTTGAGTTACGGTTAGGGTTACAGTTATACTTAAGGTTAGGTTTTGGTATGCAGTTAGGGTTAGGGTTATGATTAGTGTAATGTTTAGGTTTATGGTTTGGGTTAGGTTTTGAATTATAGTTAGTGTTAATGTTAGAGTTATGATTAGGCTTAGTGTTATGGTTAGAGTTATGGTTAAGGTTACCATTATGGTTATAGTTTGAGTTAGTTTTAGAGTTAGGGTGGCAGTTAGGATTAGAGCTAGGGTGTCAGTTATAGTTAGTGTTAGGTTTAGGTTTCAGATTAGGCTTAGGGTTAAGGTTAGCTTTAGGTTTAGAGTTATGATTTGGATTAGGGTTAAGGTTATGGATTAGGGTTAGGCTTACAGTTATTGTTTGGGTTATAGTTAGTGTTAGAGTTAAGGGTGTGTTTAGGGTGAGGGTTAATCGTTGGTTTAGGGTTAGGGTTGGGTTTACCATTAGGCTTATGTTTGCAGTTAGGGATAGAATTATGTTTAATGCTAGGTTTAGGTAGGGTTAGCATTAAGGATAGGGTGAGGTTTAGTTTTAGGGTTAGGGTTAGGCTTGCAGTAATTTTAGAGTTAGTGTTACAGTTGGAGTTTGGTATAGGCTTAAAGTTATGGTTAGGGAATGGTATAGGATTATGAATGATCAAAGTTAGGGTTAAGGTTAGGGTTAGGGTTATGTTAAAGTTAGCTTTAGTGTCAGGGTTACGATTAGTGTTAGCATTAATTTTTATTGTTAGAGTTATGGTTAGAGTTAGGGTTAGGTTTAGGATTATGGTTAGGATTAGGATTACACATAAGGTTAAGGTTAGGCCTAGGATTATGTTTAGGGTTAGTGTTAGGCCTGGGGTTACACTTAGTGTTAGGATTAGGATTAGGATTAGGGTTATGGTTAGGTCTAAGATTTGGGTTATATTTAATGTTAGGTTTAGGGTTATAGTTAGTTTTAGTGTTAGGTTAAGGTTAGTGTTAAATTTAGGAGTACGGTTAGGTTTAGGGTTAGGGTTAGGATTAGGGTTTAGGTTCATGGTTACAGTTATAGTAAGGTTTAGTGTTCTTGAGTATGGTTAGGATTAGGGTTATGGTTAAGGTGAGGTTTAGGGTTACAATTAGGGTCATGGTTAATTTTATGGTTAAGGTTAGTTTTGGGGTTTTGCTTAGGGTTATGCTTAGGGTTACTGCTAAGGATTGGGTCAGGGTTATGGTTAACATTAGGGTTAGGGTTACATATTGGTTTCACATAAAGGTTACCATTACATTTAGAGTAAGGATTAGAGTCACGGTAAGGTTTCTGTTTAAGATTGTGGTTAAGGTTCATATTAGTATTATGGTTAGGATTACATTTAGGGCTATGTTTAGGGTTAAGAGTACAATTCTAGTTAGGGTTACGGTTAGGGTTGGGGTTACTGTAATGATTATTGTGATGGTTAGGGTTAGGGTTATTGGTTTTTTTGTTTTGGTTTTTTTATTCTTTCTTTTTTTAATTTTTGTTTTTTTATTTTTATTTTTTCCATAATTTTATTGATAAAAAATAGCAATGAGACAGTTTCAAATCAAATCGGTAGGACAGTTTCAATAATTAACACACTGCATATATTCTTCTTAGTGATTAATTGCTCTACAAGATGCAGACTTGAGGTCCTATTTACAAGCACCATTAGAACACATCATTTTATTCATTAAGAGAATGTAACTTTGTATCTATCCTAAGCACTTTGAATACACAGATACAAAATGGACATTCATCTGTATACCCTTTTTTGTTAAGTTCCGATATTTGAATGTTATAGGAGTGTAAACTCAGCAAAATATTCCAATAGAGTCCAGTAGCCCATAATATCATTGGGTCTTCTGTTTAACTGGCAATGTCAGAAATTGTTGACGTGGCTCCCCCACAGCTCAACATAACAGCATGGCTTTACTTCCTATATTTCATCTTCATACTTTCCTACTGGATGGTTAACACCAAGGTAAAGCAGGACCTATGCAACAAGAGTTGTAGCTTTTGGGTCTGATAAGGTCAGTGAAATCCCCTCGGGATTTATCCTGAGATTCTCTACCTCAGATTGTAGAACCTTTGTCAGTGTCAGGCACGTGGAGTCACGGCCATTGCTTGGCCAATATGCTCTCTGTGAAAGCCTGAGAGAATGTTTTCTGTCCATTTGACTCTCCTTAGGCACACTCTACATCATCGATCACTTTCCTCTTTGGGCCCATAATCTCCTTGATCAGAAAGTTTAGGACACTACTGAGTTACATGATGTTACAGTACAAGTTCGCATAGGTCCTGAATCTTAATTGACCTTAAAAGGTTAGGGTCAAAATGTTGGCTTTCCTTGCAGCCCTTCTTTTTCTCTAATTTTGGTCTGCAAACTTAGGTTGTTAGCCATCCAAAAGACAAGCTTATTGTTATCATCAAACAACCTTGGCTGTTAAGCTTAACCTCACTGCCTGTCTGCATATCAAACATCTTAGGCATATTATGGAACAGGTATTTTTCATCAGGTATTGATATGTTGAACTTTATGTCCCTACAGAATATGATAAAAAGCATTTAAAAATTAGAATATATATAAAAAGTAGGCATAAAGTATTATATACTTCTCATGCTTGCACAAAAGTCCAAAAATCTCACCATATACAAACTTGAAGCAGGACAGTCCCACAATATTCTTTTTCCTGTCTCTTGCTTTCATTCACCACCCCCTTCTTCTTGAACATCCACCTACCCGAGAGACATCATAGCAGCAACGGGCATGTCATGACATGCAGCCCATATTCAGAATACCAGAATGACAAGCCCTCCAAACATGCAACTACTATTACAAATTACCATCTGTACTGCAGTAGCTTAGTTCACAGGTATCAGTATATATAGTTAGTCAGGGTGAGAATCTTTCCAATTAACTGCTAGATTGAAAAATCTTCTGAAGATTCTCAGGATCATTGCCTTGCTCATCTTCTACATAAAACTTTTTCCTAGCTCTTCTCCATTCCCTCTCTTGATTAGTTAGTCCTTCAGATCCTGCTTTCCTTTTACTTGTATTATATCTTTCTATTTGTATTTTTTCTTTTGAGTTCTTATACTAGGGA